AAGGCTCTGGGAATAGTGATGGGGGTCTTTCTCTGCTGCTGGATGCCATGTTTCTTGACTGTCAGCCTGGATCCTATTTTTAATTATTCAACTCCACCTGTCCTATTTGACACTCTTGTGTGGCTAGGATACTTAAATTCTACATTTAATCCTCTTGTCTATGCTTTCTTTTACAGTTGGTTCAGAAAAGCTCTTGGAATGATTGTATTTGGCCAGATATTTCAAGCCAATTCTTCAAGAACAAAACTAATTACACATTGAAGATTTCTTTTAACACTGAGCAAAAACAATTATTCACATTTTATATTCTTCAAAGAATTTGAAAAACAGTTAAAACACTTCATAGTTGTGACAATATTATGTTTCTTAAAAACATATGTGTGAGAAAACAATATAAAATTAAAAAGTTTACAAAATATTTATGGATGACTATGAATTCAAATCTTTGGACAGACGTCCGAACTACTACGGAAGCAAATGAAAAAATAAAAAACTTCAAATTCTCACAAATATTTATACATTTTTAATTTTCAGTATACAGTACTTCAAGAGCATCATGCACAGAGAAACTGCGAAGGAACGATCCTCTTAATTTCATTTTTAAAATTTAGATAGTTAATTATTGTTGTTATACACACCTGATTTGTAGTGCCAAATTGTATGTTTTCTGTAAGCCCTTTCCAGGAAGTTAATCAATGAATTTACAAGAGGCACCTCCTTTACTGACAGCACCACAAGTGTGCAAATGCCTGGGAGGCTTCAGAGGTGACTGTATTCCTGAGAGACAAAAGCTCAAGTAGTCCACTAGGTGCGAGAATCTTGGTTTTCACTGCAGAGCATTTAGAATAATTTACTATTTTCAAGATACTACTTTACAGTAATACACAATATAATTGTTTAGGGCAAGATAAAGTTTCAACACATTTTGCCAGTTATTCAGAGATAATTGAAAACAGATTTTTTTTTAACAAGCACTTAATGGCTGTGACAATATTGTGCAAAATACTGTGCAAAAATGCAATGGCATAGCAACATAAACCCCATATTAAAAGGGGAGAGAAAGACCAGCACAGAATATGCAACTATATGATACACAGGACACCCTGGACAGCAGTCTCTCCTAAATTGTGATGGCCAGTACACCATGGTCCTTGATTCTTCCCTTCTCGTGTTGCTACCAGGAGGGCTGTATCAAGCTGTGAAATGATCTTCCATGTCAGAAACTATTAGTTTCTTTGCAGTGTGGTCCACAAAACCAGACAGGACATCTGTGTGCTGATCCAGGTCATGGAGAAAGTTTAAACTGGCAATCCCATCTTTAAATTAAAAAAAACCCACTGAATACGCCAAAACTGCAACTTTTACACTTGAAAGAACAACATGATTCTTTACAGTCAATATCAGATAATAGTATGACTACATTACGTCATAGTATTTTACATTAGATTGTTCTTCATTGCTTTTGTAGTGTTTTCAATTGTAGTAGAACAATTGTTCTGGCAGTATTCAAAAACAAAGGTAAAAAATATATAAATTAATTTGGCCTACCATTTCACAGTGAAAAGACATCTGCATTAATTTTGGTCAGTTGTCCTGAGCAATATGGGTAAGTTGTTTAACATGAAGTAGATTACATTTCCTTTCAATATGAAAGTGATTCCTCAGAATGACATACCAGTGCAGGTAGTCATTGACAGTGGTCTTAGTGGTCTTTCTATCATCCAGGCTTTACATACTATACAGATCCAGCCATTCAGAATGTATACTGGACAATGCAGAACATTATGCCACAAACACCTCAGCACACTGCAGCATACTATCCTGTATTAAAAATATTCTGTTGTGGGACTGCACTACTTTGTAAAATGGCCAGGTGGAGTAGTGAATGCTTAATACGGTGTGTGGAAGCATTTGGGCGTTCACCAGAAAACGCCTGTTTCGAATCCCTGTCAATGCTGAGCCCCTTGGGACAATCTTTCCAATTACAGAATTTAAGTTCTATACTGTTTAGATTTTTATTAATTTAATACTGTGTATACATTTTTTTTATTATTTCTCATTGTGAACGTGATGTGCTTCTTTCAGATTTACATCCACATTGAGATAATCTATATTTTATCTTTAAGTGAATATCAGCAACAAGTAATCAGGAAACAATGTTACTTTAAATTTGGATTATGAAAAATAGATTTCACACATACTGTACTGTTCAAGTAGGTATCTGCATCATCATATTTTCATCTCAGAGAATCTTAGATTATTTTGTATAAAAATAAAATGCAGTACACAACCTTGATTGTTCTGAATCTTGAAACTAACCTGATCACTTATGCTTGCATGAATAGTGCTTTTTGATAGAACAAGTACTAGTAGGAACAAGTAATAGGTTTATTCCATGCTGAAAAAAAGTGAGAAAGAAAACATTTTGGCTGTGAAGCCTTCTTCACTAGTGCTTTTATTCCATGCTGAAAAGAGAAGACAAGAAACACAACATTTCGGCTGTGCAGCTTTCTTCGGATGTGAGAGACATAGGAAAATGGACAGCTCATAAAGCAGGGGAGAACAAAAGCCAAGAGTGGAAAGGAGGCAGGAGCAGGTGAGAAGCAGACTAGACTCTCAAGTGGTGTGAAGATGAGAGAGGATGAATAGAGAGGATTAAAAGGAAACAAATCTGTCTTAGAGAGAAAGTGTAAGGTGTGATCCGTTTCAGGATACATTTGGTTTTGGATGTCTCTTTCTGCAATAGGAGTTCTGAAACCCCTCTGTGAGGATGCAAATGGAGAGATCGGTGTGATCTTGGTCATTAGAGATGAAATTGGAAACTATGGGTTTGGAGAGATCTTTGATCATCACACCCTTGACACGTTCCCTGAAATGGTCTCCCAGTCTCTTTCCTGTTTCACTAATGTAGATGGCTGGGCATTTCTGCAGTAAATAAGGTTGCCGCAGGTACAATATGTCATCTGAGTGATCCAGAATTGTGCAGAGAGGCCATGAATGTATTGGATATACATTTACAGGTGATGCAGGTATTACAAGTTCTGTTGCAGGGTAAAGTGCCTGGTGTGGATGATTGCTGAGGGCGATCAAGGGAGCTGTGAACAAGAAGGTTATGCAGATTAAGTGATCAGCGATATGAGATGATGGGGCGGTCAAAAAAGAATTTACCAGTGGAGGGATCAACCTATAAAATGGGGAAGTTGTCATCAATGGCCCTGGTTATTGAAAGTGTGTTTGGGTGGTAAGAAAGCACCAAAGGAATGCAGTTGTGAGGCTGGGAGTTCCTTATTAAGTTGATGATTCGAGGGCTGGTTTTGGATTGGGAGAGGGCCCTGTCAGTAACATGGTTGGGGTATTTTCTGTTTATTAAAAAAAGAGTGCATTTTGAGGGCTTTATTTTGGAAATCCATGTTGTCACTGCAAATTCGCAAAATCGTGAAAATGCTCATTGACTGTTATGTAGCATGTTGCACCCAAGTGACTGTTTAGTACAGCTTCCTGACTATTGTGTTAAATGTGGAGCATTTTCCAAATAACATTCTGACGTACTGTATGTGTCTTTAGATGTTGGTACTGAATGGATTTAAAGCTACCACAGTACAGTATGTGTAAAATATTTTTTATCAAAATCTAAAATAAAATTAACCGTTTCTAAATTATATTTTATTTAAATTAGCACTAAGACAAACACATTATTTGAATGTGGATGTAACACTGAAAAAAAAACATTGTGTTCACAACAGTCTGTAACAATTAACTATTTTATATGTATCTGGCTGAGTAATCTTATTTGTGCATTTTATTTTCATTATCTCATGAAAACTGAACAAAGATTTGATTTACAGATTTTTAATATTCTCAAAACCTGGCTGTATGGCTGAGGGACTAATTCATAGACTACCATGCATATGTTGCCTACTACACTTGGCTACCATTTAGGTACAGTTAGATCATTTTAAATGAGGTAATGGGGTTTAGGAATATTCACAGTTTCAAGTCTAGTGACATCACTGTTTTGTTGGTTAAGGTTTAAGTGTTCATACGTAATGTAAAAGTAAAAAAAAAGTGTATACAGCAGGTTGTGGGGCAAGTTAAGGGTAAATAATAAATAATCTGATATGGAAACATGTATTGTATGAGTCTTTCCTAATATCTATTTTTGAACTCTTTAATTCCTTGAATTTTAATACGGTGCTCAAACTATAGCAAAATTACTGCATGATTTATTTACAAATCTAATAAATGAGTAACACGTAAATTCATCAACTCACTGATATAGTATTATTAAAAATTAGCCCTTTCAACACCATATTTCAGTAAAAAGATACCATAGTCTTAGAACATTTGAAACTGTCCCCATATCTCCTATCCATATGGTCAGTGTATCATATGCTAATAGTCATATGCTAATGATGCCCTGCTTGCATCATGCTAACAAAGTGACATATCTGTGCTCCAGGTTGTTTGCATCACTATCGCTCCACACACTTTCTTCTGAATGAATAAAAAGGACTATAGAATATTGGAGCCACGGTAACCTACAGATGCAGCCATTCAAAGTGCGCGGTACAGACACGTACCGCAGGTAATTGGCTGCGGTGTCGCATACCATGACGCAAGATGACGCTGGGTACCGCGGTACGTGATTGGTTGACCGACAGGGGCACTCGTGGTCCGTTGGTCTGTCGTAGGAAGACTTACTGTAAATGTCTGTACTGTGCCCGTTGTAGATATTGAATTTTACCACTGAAGGGAAATCTTAGTAGCTGAGCATAAAAAGAATAGGAGCATACTGTAACGCGTGTGAAGGCCATAAACGATATTAATTTTGGAACATAAACATACAGTATATAGCTGGTCTTGGTACTTTAAAGAAAAAAATACACACCAGTAA